GCCTGCATTTCGCGCACTCGACACGCACGATCTCCGCAGAGGGTTGCATTTTCGTTTGACGCTTAAGAGAGAATTTATAAGGTGGGGAAATGTTTTTCATTAGGACATCTCCCGTGCAAGTTTTTTAGGACATCTCCCGTGCAAGTTCTCCATACTCATACTTGCATACTTGTGCATACTTGCACTGGGATTGCACTGGGATACTTGCATACTTGCATACTTGCACTTGGATACTTACACTTGCATACTTACCCTTGGATGCTTTTGTTCAAGTGCAAGTGTGGAAGTGTCAGTGTGTAAGTGTAAGTGTCGAAGTGCCAGTGTTCAAGGGATTTTCCGGAAGAACCCTTCGCAATGCTTTCGGGAAAAAAACAGTGTGAAATCATGGAGAAATGATGAAATGCACGTCCTGGTTTGGGTAAGTCAGGACATAGGGTAAAACAGGCAAACAAAACTGAAGAACTGCAGCTTGTCAGGAATGCAAACCGACACAGGAGGACATAGCTCCCTGCAGCCTATGTCTATCTGATCCAAAGTATGCCGTACAACTTGCAGTGCAGCTGTGTGGTTCTTGCAAGTGGCGTGGTGAGCGAAATTGGGGAGGAGCCTTCCTTCGTTCGTTCCTTCCCTTCCCTCCCTCCGTAAGACGGAGACATCCCTTGATATACTGTAAGGCTCCCAGGGCGCGACCCATCAAGAGGAAGTACAACTTCACGCAGGGCACAGGGGTTTGTCGGAACAATTTTTGATGTCTACCTTTGTATAGATCACGTTGATTGTAAAGTTCAAAAAGGTCGGTTAGAGACACCCGGAGGTAAAGACCGTGAGTCTTGAGATGCCCAAAGGGATGTCATTTGCCATCCAAACAAATAGTCGCACGCTGGACAGCATGTCGTCACCATCCTTGCTTCGCAAACACCTCGTCAAACCAACCCTGTTGCCCCGCCACTCATCCAAGACTATAATGCTCTGATAGACAGAAGCATGGTTTCTTATCAGATCGTACTGCTAACTCAATCAAACTGTTCATTGCTAGGTTCAGTGCGACAGGAGTGAGCGGCCAGAATGTCTGGCCTAGGCTGGACGTAAAGATTTGGACACCACTAGCCGCAGTTTGGCCGAGATGGTGTGACATATTGGTATATTGTACGGTAAATTATGTATACACATCCATGTACATGTGCATGCCAGCAACTTCAGAACGTGGGATTGTCAAAATTCAGGAGGCCAAATGTTGCCCTGTCAAGACATGCCAAATGCATCCAAATGCACTAAAGTCCCTCACAATGCTCAACCAGGTATGCAAGCAAGTGAACTGAACAGACTTTAAACTCTTGCATATTGAATATTGCTTTCTACCACTGGAGAGGCGCCATCTCCGCACTACTTGTGCTCTGCAAAACAGCCTGGGTTGCCAACTGGTGAGAGAGGTCTCAGCCAAATCTGGCCAACAAATCTGAAGTTTGATATCTCCATACCCAAGCGTAAGTCAACTCCCGCGTACAATGGATGTAACCCACACCCACCACTTCAAGACTGAATTGAGCTTGAAAGGCCTGGGGTTTTGAATCGACACTGGTGGCTTTCCACGGAGGCACCTTGGCAATAAAGCATTCCAACTGCACTGCGTGTTCAGTTTTCCTAAAAATCTAGGAACCAAATGATTATATAGTGCAAGTAGCTACTAGGAACAAGTGCATCGCTACTAGTAACAAGTGCCTTACTAGTAGTAACAAGAACGCTAGTAGGAACAAGTGCCACGCTACTAGTAACAGGTGCCTTACTAGTAGTAACAAGAAGCTATTTGGGAACAAGTGCGAGGGAAGCTGCCCCCCGCCCTCAGGGTGGGGAGCTTCCTTGAGAAGCTATCCTGCGTCCAGAAGGTAGTAGCTAACTAGTAGCCTAGTAGCTTACTCTCCCTTACTTAATTAAGTAGGCACCTATTTAATTACACAGTAGGAGAGCAGAGCCGGCTGGAAAATAAACATGTCTTTTGAAGCCATGAAGCCTGCCTCTCAAGTGCCATTGGAAGGAGATCTTTCCACGCTTCGCGCAAATACTCACGACGACGGCTGTGAAACAGGTGCCAACAGGCGTGGTGAAAGGTCCCATGCAGGCATTCGTAGTGGACAGATTGGAGCACTTCCGAGCACGGTCCCCGTGCCAGAAATGCAAAGGGAAACCAATGCGAGCAGCATTTGCTCAGCTTTCCCTTCTTGCTCCGGCTCTTCCAACAGCGTGGTGTTTTTCCGTTTCGATCCTTTATATTTATATAGATCCCTTTCAACAAGTTTCAACGATTCAGAAGAGCAAGTAAAGCCGATCTTTCACAAGCCCTTGGCACAGCCCAAAAACTCGAGCAAAAAACCGGAGCAAGATCTTGAGCACTTTCTTCGGCCTGTTGGGCGAAGCAGTTTACAGCAACTCACCACAGCTCAAGCAGCTTTCTTCGTATCTTGGATTCTTGTTCAATCCTCATTCATGTAGTGTAGTGATGAATTGAGCAATCCTGAGAAGCTCTCTTTGGTGAGTTTGTGCTTGGCACGCCTAGCTGCACAGGTCTGCAAAGGGGGAGAAAGGGGCGATACGGTGCGTTCTTTAGAGAACACAAGCCCATTCTGCGATTCTTTGCAGCGCTCTCTACGCCTCTGGCTTCGCGCTTAAGCTCAAAGGTGGCCACAAAGGCTTGGTGGCTGGCTTGACAAAAGCATGATGCCGGTAGGAGCAGGCACAAAGGTCGGCACGATGCGCAGAAACGCGGCAAAGTTAACTTAACAGAATCAAAATCACCACCCTGACAGTTCGCATAGGTGGTGACACTTTGATCAGCTTGGAAAGGTTTCTCGGAAAAGCCCTTCCTTGAACAAATCCGTTGGCCTTGAAGCTTCAATGTGAAGCTTCGCCTCAGCTCCTCATCATTTGCATAAACTCCTGGAAGTCGATTTCACCATCCCCATTTGTATCCACCATCTTCATCAAATCCTGAGCTTAATGGTGCTTCGGCATGCTTCCGGTCACTTCCAGTGCACAAACATGGTTTCTTTTGCAACCACACGCAGCCACACGCATGGAAATCGAGCAGACTACAAGGTCAAAGGACTGAACCCTCCTCCCCAAAATCGCTTGCTGAGTGAACAGCGTAAAACTCTTCGTCTACTGCAATAGCTCAACCTATCAAGACAAGTTGCAGCCAGGTCCTGCAGAAAACAAAATAGATCTTGCAATGCACTGTACATGTTGTGCAGTCAGGCAATCCTTTGCAACCCTCAGTCAACACCAAACGTCAACATCAAGGATAGTTCAAATCCCTTGTGAAACATGTAAGAAACATAACCCCCTTTCTCTCCTTGTGAAACTTGCCTGCAACGTCATCACTGGCCAAGACCTCCGCGAGCCTGGACCAACAAACTGAGGCGGAAAACTCGGGCATCGATGAAATCATTAACAAGTGCCTTACTAGTAGTAACAAGAAGCTACTAGAAACAAGTGCCACGCTACTAGTAACAAGTGCCTTACTAGTAGTAACAAGAAGCTATTAGGAACAAGTGCATCGCTTCTAGTAACAAGTGCATCGCTTCTAATAGCTTCTTGTTACGACTAGTAAGGCACTTGTTACTAGTAGCGTGGCACTTGTTTCTACTTATTATTTATAATATACATATTAACTGTACATAATGAACACAGTGCTTGTGAACACAAAATACATACAAATGTGTACATATATATATATACAAATATACATACATATCATCTACTACGATATACTTCTTTTAGTCCCTCTCTAATTTGTTACTTGCCTTTGTGCTTTGTTTCTGTCTTTCTTTCTTTGATTCCTTCCCTCCTTCCTTCCCGTTTTCTTTCCGTTTGATGCTGGTCCAGGGAAGTGTCTTTCCAACCCTGGCGACTGCACGCTCCACATGATTGGTTCACTGAGGACGACACTCTTTCTGGCTGATGGTACCATTGCCATCGCGATCGAAAACGCGGAAAGCTTGCCAACAAGCATCTTCCTGGAAAGATTGAGGAGCAGTTGCAGTAGCAGTTTCTCAAAAAGACTCCCAGTGACTGAGTCCTCAATGAAGTGCTTCCTGTCCAGAGTGGCCGCCTGATGAGTTCGTGCTGAAAGTCACTCATGCTTTCAGTCTTCTTGTCTGTGATCATTCTCTCTCTTTCTAGTTCTCTCGACTCTCGAGCTAGTATCTTCTCCGTTCTCTTCCTTCCCTTCTGCCTTGTGTTCTGTCCTGCATCTGTCCACGCTAGGTCTTTCTCCCATCATTCGATCTCCCAGCCCCTTCTGTCTCGCCCTACTCATCTCAGAATATTATCTATACCTTGACCTTCTGAATGCTGTTTTGTACTCTTGCTCATCACTTTTGCTGGTGGTAGGCCAATTGCACATCTTGGTGCAAGACTAAAGCAAGCTACGTACTGGTCAGGCAAGCTGCAAGGAACTCCGTGTAATCGATGACCCCGCTTCCATCTGCATCGATGCTCCTCATGATCTCCTCCAAGGGGCAGAAGACTACAAACACGCCTCAAGTGTCTGTGCTTAATCCAAGCCCGCTGACACCCGCCTGAAGGTCGCCTGGAATGTCCTTCAAGCCACCCTTCTCCAAGCCTGAAAAAAACCACTGACACTGGCATTGCGGCATTGCACAAAAATTGCAGTGATCATGCAACTACAACAAGTGCAGAATACTAAAGGCAAGTGACCTGCTTTAAGTTCGGCTGCAGTTAGCAGCCCATCTCCGTTCCTAAGTAGGTAGGATCACTGAATTCGACAAATGAATCTAGGACACCAGCAAGGATGCCTCTCACATTCTGCCAAGCAGCTCATCTAGCGCTTGGAAAGTCTCTCTCAAGGCCCTGAGTTTCCCAAGCTCTCAAGTACGATGGCCTCCAACCTACTAGCGACGTTTCCCATTGGCTTTTTACCCTGGTTTTTAAGAAATCTGAGCAAGGTGCTGGATCTGCTTGTCATCAAGACTGCTTGCAATCACCTGCAAGGCTGCTTTCCTTAGCTTACCAGCTGGCAACACTAGGGTGTGTCAAGCTGTTGCAGAAAGCTGGGCGAAAGGAGAATAAGGATTCTGCACTGTTCAATTTACCGGCACGCAGTCTCGCTTCCTTGTTCGAGAGCCCCTGTCTGCAAACAAGCTCAAGCATGCTTGGCAAGCATGACTTGGATCTCCACATCCACTGGAGGCTGCTGCTCAACTTATATGAGACACAACTTCCACACGTACCGACTGGACTTCGGGAGACATATTGCTGAGACTGTTTGCCTCTCTTGCAGGACAAAGAAGAATCAGCAAACAGGACGTCCGGCAAGTTTATCAGACCGAGTATCTTCAACTTGTTCTGCGACAGGAATCCACGCAGCTTGTCGACGAAACCGTCCTTGCGCACAAAACAAAAGCTGGTCAACGCAACGCACGTTGCAAAAAGCGGCCATTCTCTGTCGAAGGCTAATTTCGATGACTCCAATTGAGCAAGCAGCTTGCCTGCAGGTTGACATCTTTGGCCTTCGGGGCCTTTTCTTTGATCCACACCTTTCGTCAGTACTCACAAAAATGGCCTCTCGAACTCCAACTGTGCAGTTCACGGCATGCGACAGGGTGTATATACAGTACATCATTTCAGTTTGCAGGTGTGTCACTGTCAGGCCAAGTAGCATCGTTCAACGCTTGCTCGGCAGAGTATCTGTCCTTGGGGTTCATCTGCAAGAGGTTCTTGATCCTTGGAGAGTCAAAACCCACGCTGTGAGCAGCTGCGGCTGCAGTGCATCTTGCAAATGCACAATCCGCGGCATTATCTGTGTGGCCAGGTCACAGCGCTTTGGCATCTTCAGAAACATTCTTCCTTGCACAAATGAAAGGCAGGAAGGGGCTAAGGCACTAGGGAATGGTCAGAGTACGTGGCAGCCACAAAATGCACCAAAGTGGCCAATCTGCTGCCTGAAACTTCACCTTTCCTTGACGGACCTGGTGCAACGGCGCTCAAGATTTCTCAGCCAAATGGAGCAAGTAATTCTAGACTTAAATGTCTTCTAGGTTGGAGTCCATCGTTATTCGGGTGGAGGCCATCGCTATTAGGGGTTGGAGGCCATTACAATAGTTGGGCTCTTCAGACCTCGTCAAGAACTTCCTGGTCCGACTCACCATAGAAGGGAGGATAACCACACAGCATGACGTACCTGGAGAGTGTGGAGACAATTGAACAAAAAAGAGAGAGAAAAAAACATATGAGCACTCCATTCTTCGAGGGGGGCACATGATCACACCCAGGCTCCACATGTCGGCCATGTGATCATATTTGCCAGCAAGGACCTCGCGACGAATCTCACAACTGTGTCCTGCAAGTATTCTCTCTCATCTTCCAGCAGGAATGTGGTTTGTAAAGGGAGGCAAAGACTTAGAAGCAGAAAAACAAAAAGTTGTCAAGAAATTTAGAAAGACTGTGCCTTTGGATCCTGTTATTGTGCTGTCTTCCAAAAGAAGCTTGTAATTATTTTCTGTGCAGCATCACGGGTGTGAGCAGCGAGTATATAATTGTACATAAACTCTATATACTGTGCAAGAATCATACATGTACTCATTATTCAGTATTCCCAACAAAAGGGAGTGGACATCCTTGTAAGTTCCACGAGACAATGCGCACAAGGCTTGGCCACTTCTGCTTCAAGGTTGGACTGTTCTATGCGGTTCTGTTTCGTTATGCTCTTGGAGAATAATCTAGGTCTATCTGATCCGGCATGATCCAACCTACTGGGAATCCGCAATTGCATTGAATCCGCCTGGGGGGCCACATAGTAAGGAGTGCCGGCTTTTGTAGTCAACACCTGGTCCAGGCGGCAGCTGCTTGACGACGACAACAACAACAACTACTACTACAAGAAGTATCAAGAAGTCACTCCAGCACATGCTGTCTACTTTAGGCTTGGGCCTAAATCAAGAAAAAACGTGCCTGGTCCGGAGCAAACTCCCGTGCCAGACCAAAATCAATCAATTTGAGAACGCTCTTTTCGATGGCTTCCTGCTGAGGTTGAATTTCGAGATGCAATTTGCAAATTACTCTTTGCATAAGTTGCATCTCACATACAGCCACTGGGAACTTCCGTGTCTTTGAACCCTCCTTGGTGGTGAAAATGAAGTTCTCCGGCTTCAGATCTCGGTGAGTGTAGTGACTCCTGAGAATTTCATGGCGAGGCTCATCCGCCATCGCTCCACGGCACCAAACACGCAAAAAAAAAAAAGAACACAGCACCAAACACGGAAAGGCGCTGGTGCATGTAGTAGATCGCCCTAAACATGTTCCTCAGGCACCAGAAAACAGCTTCACACCAGAGCTTGATTCCAATCAGCTGTAGAATGAACTACTATGTACAGCTCAGCTTCTGCATCAACAAAGCTGCCTGCAGGGCGCAATGCAACGTTGCTTGTCAGAAATCAAATGGATTGGTTGCAAATTGGTTGCAAATTGGATTGGAGATGTGTATAACCTGTCTCAAGTCATGCAATACAGCGACACTTGACTTGGGCTCGTGTGCTGTATCACGTGTATAGTGTATTCTGTATTCTCTTGTAGTCTCGCGACTGGAATCCTGTTTGCAAAACTAGGCTTGTTCAATCTTCTTCAACTGATTCTGTCTGCTCTTCTCGGGAGCTGATGATACCCGGCTATTGCAGAGCACTGAGCCTGCTTTTCTGTGAGGTGGCCGTACTCAATGATCCGGTCAAACAGCTCACCGCCGGTACAAAGCTCGAGCACCAAGTAGATGTAGCCTGAAGGCATTCAAGAATAGACAGTGATACACCCAACAATGGCTATAACATGTGCAGCAACGACAATCAAGCAAATTTGCTAAAGCGTGCAAGTGTCGATGATCTTGGAACGACTCATACAACTTGCAAATGTTGGGGTGGTCCAAAATCTTCATGATCTGAATTTCCTTCAGCATTGACTGATGACAAAACGGCAGGGACGAACACGTTCTGCAATTTTGTTAGTTCAAAACATTGTTGCGTGTGTCGCGGTCGTCCTTCTTGAAAGCTTCAGGGCCTCAGATCACAAGGAAAGGTCTCGAGTCTCGTGGGTGTAATTCCACCTTTTATATAATGCTACAGTAAACTGTCCTTCAGTACATAGTATAGTGTATTGCACTACCTTGCAGTCTCTGGAGTTTTCAGCCCGCGGCTTTTCAAAGCAGCCTTATTGATCGTCTTGATTGCCCGCATGGCTTTCGTTGCCTGATTTGTGAGTATGAGAAGGGCTGCAAGTTGGTCTTGCAAAGAAGCTCGCACACCAGACCCACTCATGCGGCCTTGTTCCTTGCTTTGCAGACAGAGCCATACGAACCCTCTCCGATCTTTTTCTTGTCAATGTCATAAAACTGCTGGATCTTGCCCTGGCATGGAGGATCTTTCCCCTGCTTGCAAATGTCCTGTTGCTTCTACTGCAACAAAAACCTAGCAGTTATAAATAAAAAAAACACTCCTGAACGCGTTCTGACCGCACCTGGTTGTCAACAATGAGGCTCGCAGATGCGAAGCCTGACCAGGTCACAAGTCCGCTCTTCTAGTTGAACGAAGATGGAGCCGGTGGAGCTGCCTTCCATTCCTGCTTGCAAAATAGTATTGAAATATTGCGCCTGTTGTACTCTTCTTGCCACCCCCGCCCTCCTGGCAAACGAGTGAGCATCTGAAGAGGACCATACACGGTGCTATATAGATCTGTCACGTCTCTCCTTCTTCGATGCTGAGGCACCGCAACCCATGGCTACAACAAGGTGAAACCTGGGCTTGGCCTTTCTAGAGCCTGAGGCACAGGAAATAAAACACTAAAGGACCAGGTATGAATCCGGACTACTTGGAGCACTAGGATTTAGTTCACAGAGTGCCGCAGACCCTGAACCAAACACACAGAGCCCCTGGGCAACACTGTCAAACTTTGTGTTGAGCCCTGGCAGCTGGCAGGTCAAGAACAGCGCATGCTGACAAACACATAATATGTTTCAGAACCTCCACGACACAAATCAACTTCTTGTCTATCGGATCTAAGAGGCCTTGCTGCCTTTCCATCTTTTCCTCCACTTCTTCATGGCAGTTGCTAGGCTCTGAACCCACTTCGGTGGTGTTGCCAAACGATCCCAGCGACGGCCTAGGATTCTCCCATGTTTGAACCCGAACAAAGGCTCCTTCAAGCCACTGCATATCTTTGAGTTGCTTCAAGTCAGGCCGGAGTACATCTCAACTCCTGCTCAAATTCGTTCAAAAGGTCTTTCAGCTTCGCATCCTGAATGTATTTAAAATGCTGATTTCCTTCACAGTGCCTTCACCTTTTACAGCAGGATTCCTGAGGGCTGACTGGGCTGGAAATCGACGCTTCCACATCCAAGCTACCTACAAATTTCACAAGCAGGCAAGACTGGAGTTTCTTTCAATGGATTCCTTCTGATTGCCGTTGCCTTTGGCCTGGACTGATGAAGAGATAGACTTCGTCCTGAGAGTTGCAGGAACTCCTTCTCAGGTGGCCAAAGACAAACTGCAAAGCAAGCCTTCGAAATGATCTCGGCCCTTGCAGCCTCAACGAGCTCTGGCGAACTCTAGCAGTAGCACAGAAACAAGAAACTAAGCCCCCGAATCCTCGACTCTCAGATGCAAACGAAAGTTATAAAAAATTATCCCGGCAAGAGACCCCAAACAGTTTGTGTGAGGTCTATAAGCAGAAAGTCTAGAGATCTAGACGCATTGCACGTGGTGACGGTGGCGATGGTGGGGAGGGAGGGACGGACGGACGGACGGACGGACGGAGGGAGGGAGGGAGGGAGTGCGTGCGTGCGTGCGGGCGGGCGGGCAGGCGGGCGGGCTGGCGGGCGAGAGGGAGGGAGTGAGTGAGTGCACTGGGGAGTGAGTGAGTGTGAGTGTGAATGTGAGTGGGAGTGCGAGTGGGAGTGAAAGTGAGAGTGAGTGCGGTGAGGGAGTGTGAGTGTGAGTGAGAGTGAGAGTCAGAGTGAGAGTCAGAGTGAGAGTGAGAGTGAGAGTCAGAGGGTGAGAGTGAGAGTGAGAGTCAAGAGTGAGAGTGAGAGCGAGAGCGAGAGTGAGAGTGAGAGTCAGAGTGAGAGTGAGAGTGAGAGTGAGAGTGAGAGCGACAGCGAGAGTGAGAGTGAGAGTGAGAGTGAGAGTCAGAGTGAGAGTGAGAGTGAGAGTGAGGGTGAGAGTGAGAGTGAGAGTGAGGTGTGAGTGAGTGTGTGAGTGAGAGGGAGAGTGAGTGTGCGTGAGATGAGGGTGAGTGAGTGTGAGTGCGAGTGTGAGTGAGAGTGAGTGCGAAAATGCGAGTGTCCATGTGAGTGTGAGTGAAGAGTGAGTGTGGGTGTGAGCGTGTGTGAGTGAATCAGAGTGAGAGTGAGGGAGTGAGAGAGCGAGCATCTGAGAGCACAATGCGCCTGCTACGAAATCTGCACATCGAGGTTCACAAAAGCGCTGTACCTGCCACGAAGTCTGCACCTCTCGAGGTTCACAAAGTGCTGCGCCTGCCACGAAATCTGCACTTCGAGGTTCACCAAATGGTGTGCCTGCCACGAAATCTGCACTTCGAGGATCACCAGCGCTGTGCCTCCCACGAAATCTGCACTTCGAGGTTCACAAAGTGCTGCGCCTGCCACGAAATCTGCACTTCGAGGTTAATTGAAGTGCTGTGCCTGCCACGAAATCTCACTTCGAGGTTCACAAAGTGTTGCTGCACCTGCCACGAAATCTGCACTTCGAGGTTCACCAAGTGCTGCGCCTGCCACGAAATCTGCACTTCGAGGTTCACCAAGTGCTGTGCCTGCCACGAAATCTGCACTTCGAGGTTCACAAAGCGCTGCACCTGCCACGAAATCTGCACATCGAGGGTCACAGAGTGCTGCGCCTGTCACGAAGTCTGCAAACGAGGCACATGTCCAAAAGTCACAGTTCACTGCACCTGTCACGAAATCTGAGCTCCTCGACGATCACCACCATGTCCAAAGTGCTGCACCTGCCACGAAAACTGCACTTCGAAGTAAAACAGCCCCGATCCCTTGCACCTGACACAAAAAGTCGACTTTGGAGCACCAAAACACAAGGTTTCCCTTGCGCCTGCCACGAAAAGTGACCGCCATGTACCAAAATGCGCACGGCGCCACAACGAGAGCGCAGTCGCTAGAAGCACCCACCGCCGGCCCCCAGATTCTGCGAGCCTGCGCAGTCGAAATGCACTTCGAGGGTTTCGAGAGGCATGAATGTACTGTAAACAGCAACGAATTAGCGTTCACGCCTGCGCGGAACAGCGATCTAAGCACACCTGCTTTTCACCTACCGTAAGAACCCCTCAGTGTGCCCACACTGTTTGGGGAATTATGTGTATACATACATCTAATCTAATGTATATATATATATATATTGTGTTGAACATAAACTTTAAAATACAGAATTGCACATATACCTGTGAAACACTGCAAGAAATGATATTCTCAATCCTGCAGTTTCCATACAATGCACTTTAAGCGTGTTTTACAACAGCACAAAACATTATACAACTTCAGAAGGAATAATGTTTTTCTTTTTATGCCTTACCAGGCCTTATAACATCGATGTGCGTCAGCAGCGGTCGAATTGAGAAGTTTATTTTGCGTGGGACGGCCGCAGAAATGGGGTGTGAGTGAGAAGCAGAATTGAATACAGTAAGTACATGCTATGCATTCCCACTTTAAAGAGCAAGGTCTGGTGTTGTCAAATCAAAAACAGAAAACCCTTCACTCAGACTATGGCGTTCTGGAAGAAGCCTGGATGGAAGGAAGTCCAAGTAACTTCAGCTGCTTCAGTTGTCATAATCTTTCTGGTGTCACCAAGGAGTGAAATGTTGTCCCAACCACGCCTCGCCATGCGCCGCAACTGCAATGGTACGTCGTCTTTGCCCTGTCAATCCAGATTCCCACCAGAGAACGTTGCGCGGCAAAACGAGATTGGAGGATGAGCTCCCGAGCATGATATCTCCAAGTTTGGTTATATCCCATTACCAGTAGGAGTGGATGATGATCGTTGGCAAAGGGCTTGTGCGAAATAAAGATGATTGTTTACCGACTATTACAGGTATTGGGACAAACCCAGTCTCCATGTACTTGAAACAGTATCGCATCGGTCCCTGGCTCAAACATCCGCACCTGAGTTTACTCGCCAGCCAGTGTCTTCCCATCTCTG